TTTTCGATCTTATCCTGGATGGGTCTCCTCCATGATGTCAGTTTTTTATAAGCGTCAGATTTTTATGTAGACTCGGTCAAGAGATATCATTGCAACGTTAATGGTTTGTAGTAGACTATAGACTCTTCCAAAGTCGCTTACCAGTCGTCGAAGCACGCCATAGCTAAAAGAAACTGTTGAAGTTAAATTACTGAAAAGACCATAGACGGTGAGTAAATTAGGTCTCTGTTCCTTCATTTTGTTGTATTGACCTGTGCACACTTCCTAAGAGAGTTTTTAGTCAATCAAATTGTATGATTTTAACCTGAAAGTGAACAATTGCCTCACCTATCCGCCTAACTATTAGTCATATAGTCTTCCCACTGAACATGGATATCTAAGGATATCTCGGATAGCTATTCTCTGAAAGCAATTGTTCGTTGTGCCGTAAATCATAAATGGCACTGACCAATAAATGAGTACTTTAACTCAATGTGAGAATTCAATGAAATGTACTCTGTGCTCTTGTTAGATAGTTTTGTTTGTTTTAAAACTGACAGTTTGTCAAATAGTGCAGTATGCGTTGGTTCGTTTTGGTACTCAAGTTTATTGAACACGCTGGTTCGAGGATTGACTAAAAGCACTCATAGGAAGTGTGCACAGGTCAGTACAACCAAATGAAGGAACAGAGACCTAATTTACTCACCGTTTATGGTCTGTTCAGTACTTTAACTTCAACAGTTTCTTCCTTTAGCTATGGCGTACTTCGACGACTCGCAAGCGACTTGTGATGCCAGGACCATGAGACTATCGTGGCTTTCGATTGGTTTAGATCGAAGTTCTATTGTGTGCTCCAATTGGTTGACTCGTAATTCCATTGTTACATTACATTACATTACATTACATTACATTACATTACATTACATTACATTACATTACATTACATTACATTCGAATCGAGCTTCGTTCTCCATAACCTTTTCGTGCATCGGCTCTATGATGCTGCCGCCTTGCCAGCCTCGCGTCTTCACTCAGCTGGCTCGTTGGCAATCAAATCTATCTGTTGTAGCTCGGTGCTTTTCTTGAGGGGTAAACCACAGGTAGCCCAACCTCAGCTCAAGTTTACAAGTGCTGAGTTTGGGCTACCTTTGGGTAAACTCAGCACTGTCCCCAGTCCTCCTTCACAAGGAACTCCCAACAGTGTGAGACCGACCCTCAATTAAGACTGCTTCTACCAAGGCAGGGAAGGACCTAATGGGTCTCTTATCTTGATGGTGGTCTTCTAACATATTAGCTATTCAGTAGACTGGTTTTACACCTGAATTGCATTAATGAGGCACTGATCAAAACCTGCTATTTAATTGCTTCGTACAGCAGCTCTATTGTTAGCTTGGGTTTTGTTTTATTGTTTGGAAGACTTATCTATTATTCGTCCATTATTTTCTGAACCTATCATCAGGTTCATTCTGATCGGTGTTGATTGTCCCTTGAATTGTCCCAGATCCAGTGCAGAAGCTAATGAAGAACCCTACATCATACAGTTTGAGACACCCTATTTCAAGCAATTTGAATTTTTTTACAAAGAAGTTTCATTCTATATTTAATAATAGCTATAGTAGCCATGGGTTTTGCTAATTGACAGGCAATAACAACTGATTTGTACTGTAAGATGGTCTGTGGTAAACATTGGCTCCTTTTAGTCTCCATTTCTATGTAAGGTGAATCCAATATGTGAAATTTTGCTTATCAAAACAGTGTAACCAAAGTCCCTTTCGGTTGTGCAATCTCCCTTCGACAATGGCGCATTTGCCATTCTCCCTGACAACATTTTTTGAAATAGCTGTATACTGCTTCATGGTTTGAAAATAAGTAAACTTGTATATTGTCTTTATCAAATGTAGAAATTCCATTGACTCACATTGAAACACCAGGAATCCAGACAACTGTCATCTATTGGCCAGTCAAAGTAAGTCTGCTTTACCTGTAGCATACTTTGTTACTCTCACAGTCGCAACTTGCAATTTTGTCAAATTTTCTCCCCTCTTTTGGGAGGTACAAGAAGATCTACGCAAGGAGAGGCTGTGTGGGAGACTACTAAAGGCAAAAATGTTCTCTTTTTTGCTTTCCCAAGGTCCAACTGTTATAGTATCCTTGCAACAAACTAAAGGTCAAATTTGACAAAAGATCAGAACGAACCTTTTTTCTCAATATTTTTGGGACTATTTTTGGTACATTCAATATAGCCATGGTCTATCCTGAATATAACATAGTGCAGTAGCCAATCAGAATGCTGGATTTGTTTTGTGCACATCAAAATCTGTTAAATCCCTCATCTTCCTCTAGTCATCAAGTTCCAAATATAACCTCTGTTCATCATGACTTTTGTTTGGTTGACCTCTTAACATCCTTTGCTTATTGGATGTAATTTCAGCTGATGAGTTCGTCAAGAGTACTAATGTTCAGATTCCAGTTTTGGGACTGTGGTGATCATGCCATGAAGAAATATGACCATTTGTTGCCTGTAAGCATGCTGCTATCTATTTGAAATATCTATTTCATTTATAAATGTCTAACAGTGTTTGTTGTGCTTAAAAAATCCCTGGAATTGAAAACTTGTTTCTAAGGACACTTGAAAGGCTTTTGAAAGTAGGAAAACCTCCAAAACTCCTGGAATATACCACATTTAAAATCATAACTAAAAATGAGCTTGGCATTAGGTGCATGTTCGGTGGGAGTGGGGCTGTTGGTTAGAGCTGGTAGGATCCCATGTTGCAGTTTACAGGAATAAAGCTTCAAGCAGAGGACAAAAAAATGGATTCTAGTTCACAACTGGACAAAAATATTTTGTTTGTGTTTTAGACGAAGCTGATTTGACATCAAGTTTAAGGAGTCCATACTTCTTGAGTCTGTTGCAGTCTTTTGAAAAGTCACAGCTGAAAAGACTTCAGAAACCCATGAAAATAAGATTTAAAAGATACAACATATAGTCCCTTTTTTGTGCTTTAGAATTTTATTGAAAAGTCCTGGATTTTTGTAATTAAAATGTAGCACAAGTTTACTCTTACATCTAAAAAAAGCTTTTAT